AATCAAGACTGAATGTTTTCCAAGAAAACACAATGATTGACACTCCAGGTCAATCATTGCTGAATTTATTTTCTAGCTGTGGCATTTAGCAGCTTCTCAGATTTAATAGTGTTTAGGTCCTTCTGACTTTGTGTTCTAAATCTAGAGAGGGACAGGTTGGACTTAAATTGTCCATATAAACAATCCCTTATGTGATGCTTTCTTCCACATATACACCTGGTGGGTTCTTAATCATTCCAAATTACAATAAAGAGGGTTGGAAAATTACTTCTTTGAAAGAAACTGCAACAAGAAACTGTAAATTTAAACAAAACCTGAGAATCCCACTGACACTTTTATTAGCAACAAAATCAAAGATCTGCAAAATGTATTTTCCTTTTTTTTTTCCCCTGTCAGCATCACTGAATCTTCTGATTCCATACCATGCTTAGTCCTCTGTCATTATAGACAGACCTGGGCATGTATCAGAGATTAAAAGTTTTTCCAGATCTGTCCTCGCTAATGCAGTATGTTTATAAAGGGTCCATAAGGAGCAATTGAAATCACATCTGTATCATATTTTTCTGTAGCTCTGCATCAACCAGTGGTGAGGAAAAATTGCTGTTTTCTTGTTTAGCTAACTGCCAAAACTGCATTTCACATAAAGAAGGAATAGCTAAAAACATTTGGATCCTACTGTAGTCTGTCCAACTCAAATTGACATTATAAATGTGCATTAAATCAGCTCACCCAAAGCTCCTCTTTTCTAAACTATTTGCAATTAAAAAGAATCCCTCTAATAGCAGAGAATCCAGAGAATAAAAATCTAAAGAAAAGATTCCCATAAATAAATAAGTCTAGACTTAGAATCCAGATTGGTGTAAACCTTTAACTACAGAACTTCTTCTGGACAAAATGCAAAAAATCTGCTCATAAAATACTTGCAGTTTAGGCATCCTTTTTCATGGGGAGAATGACTAACAATATTTGCCAAACCTAGATGAGTGTATGCCGTGGGTAGTTCTATCTTTCCCTTGCATGCAGTAACTGATATTCTTATTCTCAAAACTGCTGCAGTTCAACAAGATACTGAAGAATTTACCTTTGTTCAGAAGAACCACTCACACACGATGAATTATGTGCTTCATGCCTGTTTGAATGGGACCAAATGAACTAACAAGTTGACTTTATTTATCTACACCTTATTATCCAAACAGATGGAACAATTAGAGGGAAAAAAAAACCCTATGTATTTCAGACATAGTAGTTCCTACTACAGACAAAATCCCTCCAGCTGAGAAGGGAGCTGTTTACTTGACTGTGACCTGAACTTTCAAACAGCTGCAACTCTTCATTTTACAGGAAGACCATGAGCTGTGATTGACCTCCTTGCCATTGTTTGCTCTGATTTGGCTGCAGATGATAAAGCTGGAATATGAAGTGAGCACAAATACAGGAATGGCCTGTTGCTGCTGAATCTACTTCAAAAGCTGCACTGCAGCACCATTTTCCTCTGCATTGTGGTCTCTGAGCGTTACCTCACACAAAGCCAGGCTGAAAGCACACAGAGCAGTGAGCATTTGCTGGAGGAGATGGAAGAAAGTGTTGCATCTGTTCTGCACAAGCAAGTCAGGGATTTCTCCTCCTCTGCAATAGCACTCATCTGCTGTTTGCATGTACAACAGCTCCTATCCATTATCTCTTCTTTATAAAGCATAATTGCACCAGATCCTTGAGGCATACTCTGTGCAATTCCAGAGACCCTGAGTGGAGGATTTGGCCTGCCTCTACTAGACCTGCCATGTTCCATGCATAAAGCAACATTGTCCTTTCAGCCATTTACTGAGCCCCTTTATTAAGGTTGCAAATAAAGCCAGTAACTCTAATCATGCTTCTGGTTGTTGTGGATCCTGGCTTGGCTAGGAATCGTTGGAGATAAACATCTCATTTCAAATAAGCCACTGAGCAGATGGTAATGGCTTCTAATCACAAGCAACACAAGGAAAATCTGAAATAAAGCCCTTGAGATGAACAGTTTGGTGCATCATTGCCACCATTTTGAATGCTGAATAACCTTGTCCCACAAAGAGAGCCATGTGTGCTTTATGTACACATACACTTCCAGCTAACTAAAATACTGACAGTCATTAATTGTTTTTCACAATTCTAATTTTGGGCCCTTGTCCAATGCCCACTGAAGTCAAAGCAAACATCTCCTTTCTAAGCCTTCAAAGACTCCATCTGCTGCAATAACAAAGTGTTGTGTTTTAATTGTGGATGCAGAAGTTTGGGAGACCTACAAGAACTTCCTGCTCAATACTAAAAATTAGATTTGGGGCAGTTTCTTTATACGCCTTTCCCCTTCCCCTCAAAAAAAGAAAACCAAAGCTTTTTGCCATTTGTAGGGACAGTGCTGGGGGTCAGACACTGCCTTTCAGCTCATGGCCTGTGCCTGTGTCAGGTTAATGATGTAATTTTAGATTATTCTTACCTCAGATCAGTCCTGAGAAGGCAGTACAGGGAGTTTTTTCACAGAGCCTGTCTGCCCCTGCATTATTGGAACGTTGAGGTGCTCTTTGCATTAAGGATGATTTCATGCCAAGAGTGGAGCTCTCATTTCTGTATAATCTGCCTCCAATGTGTTGTGTCCTGTGATGTGTTCAGAACAGTCTGCTAACCCAATGATATTGCTGGCCATGACAGTGACAGGTTTGCATTTCAGTCCTTGGGCTGCAATCTCACTGCTTGGAAGCTCACTAACACCATTTCTTAATAGTCATGTTTGAATAGTTTTGCTTGAGCCCACGTACAGAGCAATCTGTTTTTAGCCTCCTTCTAGCAGGGAATTGGCGAGAATAGTTTTCAAACAACCTGATTAAACCATGTCTGCAACAAAAACTCCATCAGAGTTTACAACATGCCTTCCACAACTCTGCTTAAATTCTAACTCCACGTAAATCAGTAGCAATTTTCCTGCTGAGCTTTCACCCGAGTGTGGCTTTGCCGTTTTATCTTCTGGAGAAGGACTCTGACACCTCACTTCATGCCCTGCAATGGCAGCCACCTGCACCACTCATCAGGGAACCCACCCTCACAGTTTATTGGTAACAGCCAGATCACAGATGAGATCTAAGCAAATAAGGTGCCTGGTTAACTATACACACAAGAGGTGTGCAGGGGAGGCTGCTCAGCATTGCGGGGGCTGGAAGCCGTTTCCCATCTCATGGATGCAGTGGTGGCAGCTCCGGCCGGTGGAAGCTCCGTGCCCCGTGCAGCTGCTGAAGAAGGTGTGAGCAGGCATGGAGTGAGCCACTGACTCCAGCATGGGCTGAAAACCCACACAGGGACCTTGATCCTGCTCTGCACAGAGACAGCCATTGACTTCAGCAGGAAGATGTGCTTCTCTCAAACTCTGGGAAGGTCTGGGAACACGCACAGCCCTCCGCTAGCCGTGTATCTTTTTTGCTGTAACAGTGTCTCTTCATGGTTTCATCTGCAGGCTCTTACAAATGAATAAATGAAATCCATGAATGAAACATCCAAGCTCTCAGTGCCTTGCTCGAGCATAGCTTGCTCAAATACCTTGGGAATGCTGTCAGAGAAATGAGTCTGTACAAATCAGGCCTGAAGAGGAAATCCCACACACTGTACTTATGTATGGAAGTGAGAGATCCAAGAGAAGCCTTCCCAGCACTCTCTTACATGACACATAAGAAGGCAGGAAGATTAATGGACACAGCAATTAGTCAGCAGATTGTCACAGAATCAGCTTGGTTGGAAAAGACCTCTGAGATCAAGTCCAACCTCTGACCCAGCACCACCATGTCAACCAGACCCTGGCACTAAGTATCTTTCCTAGAACACCTCCAGGGATGGTGACTTCACCACCTCTCTGGGCACCCCATTCCAATGTCTAATCACTCTTCATGTGAAGAAATTCTTCCTAATGTCTGACTTGAACCTCTCCTGGTGCAGACTGAGACTACCTCCTCCTATCCTCTCTAATACAATTCTTTCAAGTTGGGCAACAAAGGTACCATGACACACTGGTCAGTGACCTTTCCCCAGCAAATCACTAAGACTAAAGCCAAGTCTTTTGTGTTCCTATAAACAGCAGTCCTAAGAGAGACCCTTTGAGGTTTCCTGGACCACAGTGGGCTGTGATCAGTACCTCTCTCTGAGCGGGGCCTCTCAGAGCCAGTGAACTCTTATGTTTGCTGTAGCGGATCATCACCAAATGATGATGGAGCGTGGGTTGATACCCCCTCTCCTCGAGGCTCAACCCTTCACCTGCTGAGAAGATGCAAAGGCATCTGACATGAGCACTTTCACAGGTTCAACACCTTGTGCAGGAGTCTGTGTGTGCAAGTGTGAATATGCTATAGCCAATGTACCAAGGATGCTGCTCTCTTAGATTAAGTACTTTAGATTTGTAAGTTACACCTGTGAGTTAATGTAGAGCTTATAAGAAATTCTATGTGAACCCTTTGTAAAATTGTTTAACTTAAGCTATTGATTACAAGTGGTTTAAGTTTAAGTGCAGTTAAACCTTTAGGGCTAAACTGTTGGTGAATTCCTGGGCTCAGTTTGTCAAGGGGGTCCACTCAGAACCTTGTGATCAACGGGGGGGGGGAGGTCTCCCTTATTCCTCTTTATGCTTACCCTTTCCTATCCTTACCCTTCCCCCCACCCACCCCTCCATCCTCCACACAGATATTTTTTGGGGTTGATTTCAGTTTTAGACTGGCCGACTTTAAGACTTCAGTCTGCTTTTTCTCTGCGCCCATTAACCACCCAGCAAGCAGCCGCGCGAACCTTGCCGACGAACCGCATCGTGCTTCCGCTTTTACACTAAACCCGTGTGTTTGTTTTGTTTGTTTGTTTGTTTGTTTCCGAGACCTTGTGCCGGCGATTCCTTAAAGCGACCTTAACCCAGCTCCCCGCCCCGTTCTCGCCTCCCGGACTGCAAGTCCCGGCGGGCGCTCGGGCCGGGCCGGGCCGGGCCGGGCTGTGGGGGGCGGGCCGCGGGCAGCATGGCCGCCAGGGAGGCGGGCAGCGCGGTGCTGGGCACGGCGGCCGACAGGCTCTTCTCGCTCAGCGGGCTCTTCGCCGTCTACAAGCCCAAGGGACCCACCTCGGCCGGCGTGCTCAACCTGCTCAAGGAGAGGCTGCTGGCAGGTGAGGGCGAGGAGAGGCGGCCGGGCCGGCACAGGCGCGGGGGTGCCCGGCCCTGCCCGGCGTGGCTGCGCGATGGGTGCCATGTGCGGGCGTGCCTCGGGGATGCTGCAGTCACAGCCCCTGACAAGCCGCTGCGCCCTCTTTCTCTACACTCTGAAAACTGAAGGAGAACTGGGGTTTGGGTTTTTGTTGCCGTTGTTGTTTTGGTTTTTTGTTCCTTCGTTTGTTTGTTTGGTGGTAGTTCACAGGCACGGCACGGCCCGCTCGGGGAATGCTTCCCTTCCTGGATACATTGCTGCGCCAGGGGAGGTTCAGGTTGGACATTAGGGAGGGATTTCGTCGCAGAAAGGGTGATTAAACATTGGAATGGGCTGCCCAGGCAGGTGGTGGAGTCGCCGTCCCTGGAGGTGTTCAGAGAAAGGCTGTCCCAGCGAGGCTCGGTGTGTTGCTCACTCTGCACAGGGAGCAGAGAGCACATTCACTGCTCTCTGCTGGGGGCGGGCACCTCAGGGACAGCAGGATGTGAGCCCTCCTTTTGGGTGGGGATGACATCTTTTTGCCCCAGCAGAAAGCTCCAGCCCTGCACAGTGCAGGGGATCCCAGCTTGCTTGGAGAGCTGTCCTGTCCCAGGCAGAATGGGTGTCGGCAGCATCCCCGCTGCACAGTGCTGGCAGAGTGTTCTGCTGCGGTCCCACTGCCTGTTACCTCTAAAAAAATATCATCAGACATGCAAAAACCATAGTGTTCCAAGGAGTTTGAAAGTCCTGGACACAGTCTGCAGAAACTGCTTTTTCGGAGTACAGGGAAGCCTGGATGTCAGATACTAGGGAATAACATTGCAAAGGTGTGAGAGACTATGGCCTAGATCTTTTTTATAATAGAGGGAATTAGTTTATTATGGGGAACTTGAACCTCTAATCTGGGCTTTTGGACACTTACTGATGAAGTGAGAGCATACTTTCAGACCAGTGAGTTCTTAGTGATTTATATGTATGTAATGAATTATAATGTAGGCACAGACTTCAGTTTTGTATGGAAAAATCTGATTCCCTGAAGTGAAAGCCATAATGGAGAGATAATAGGTATAAATAAGGAATTTTAGGCCATTTTGTCATATTTAATACTAGTAAATAATGGAGTCCTTAGAATTCCTGGAGTCATCAGCTGCATAGGAAGTTTGGTGGGTTGAGACATGGACACCTTGAAAGCAGCAGTGAGCAAGTTCAATTCACTGCAGAGCTTCCCTAGGGCTGCATACACGCAAATAAACATGTCCCAGTACAAGGCAGTAAATACATCAAGAATCGTGCAGATTATGTAGCATAAAAATTGTGGTATAATAGATGATTTGGGAACTCAGCTGCTGGTTCCTGCACTCCTTGTTAATGAAACTTCACAGGTTTGCTACCACTATTTTCCAAACGTCTGTTTATAAGAGTATGTGGGACTTTATTAGAACCTAAGTGGAAATAACTTGCAAGTTGTTTGAGGTTGGGAGTAGATATAAATGAATCACTGGTCTTCTGCAGTACAGTAATTTCTGCACTACTAATTAATAGTTTAAATATTTGATTTTTATTTCCTTTAGAAGTCTGGAAATACGTGCTATTTTTTCTATGTTCTGAGGTTATCCTATAATGCTTCCTTTCAATTTCTATTTGCAGAAGCTGGTGTGCAAACAAATGAGAAGAAAAGAAATCAGGTTTTGAAAATTGGACATGGAGGAACTTTGGACAGTGCAGCAGCAGGAGTTCTGGGTAATGAAAACCATAATTACAGTCGTCAAAAGATGATTTCAGGAAACATTTTCATGCCTATTGAAATCAGAGGCGGAGGAACATTTTGGGATACACATGGCAGGTTTTGGGGAAAGGACAACTTACTGTGGAAGAGTGATCTGGATTAAATTTCCTCTGCATATGCTTTTATATGCATGTAACATGGTTGTTAAAGAAGGCTATATTCTCTCTTCCTGCCTCCCCCTCCCAAATCCTGAGATAACTTGTGGGTTATTACAAGAAAATATAGGCTCTTGTGTAATGAATTGTAAATTACCTCAGAAATTGATGGCTTTTTAAACTTAAGCTGGGGATTTATAGTCAACGTAGTTTGTTGAAGTATTTTGTCTCAAAGTAATGCTTTCCTGGGATTTTGAGGGAGCCTTTAGGGCTGTAAGACTTGCCAAATGAAAGATGTATAAGAGCAATTCAGCTGCTGCTTTCCTTGAGGCTCAACACAGAAACAGTTTTTGCTTCCTGTCCTGTCTTCCTTCATGAAGAAGAGTCACCAAAGATATTTTGTCTTTTAATTTTGATGGCAACCCATTTATTGCATTCCTTTGTTTTATTAAAGAACAGGATGTATCAGCTGCTGGTGTTTGAAACCTCAGCTGTGGGTGTGATTATCCCCACATCATACTTTGTCACCAGTGGTGTTATTGATAAGCACCATGCAAACTACAGCTTAACTCATGGCCTTGTAGCTCTACTTGGCTTGAAGAAATAACAGCAACACCTTTTTGCTGTTGAAAATCAACAGGTACAGCTCTGAGCATGTAAATGCACTGAGTTTTGATGTATGATTTCTCCCCAGAAGAGTTCATCTTCGAGGAGAGGTTGGTTGCTGTGATTGTTGCTGGTAGAGGCCTGTAGGCTGGTAATTGTCTCTGTCAGTTGTGAATACTGCAAAATCTAACCTTGTTGGGCTACAAACCAGCACTAGCTTGTTTTGTTCCAATTTCCTGTACTGTGTGGCCACTCACAGGAGATTTCTGTGTGTGTTGCTGAAGCAGACATTTTCGTTTTACACAGATGTTCCCTTTGAACATGCTACTTCTCAATGAGCAAAGTCAACAGCATTGATCCGTAGGAAAAGAAAAATCGCTTGTGCTTCTTAATTGCTTCTCCTGCTGTTCTCTGATACCCAGAAGTCTCCAAAGCCTGCTTCTGTGGCATGACAAAAAGGACTTGGGCTTGATGTGCTTGGTAAAGACAAGAGAAGGCATCACCTTAATATGCTACGGATCGATTGAAAAAAGGCCTAGGATCTTTCATTCCACTGCCATACAAAACATACAGGGGAAAAATCAATGGTAGCTAGATTGGAAAGGACAAAACTGGAGAGGAGTGGGAAAGGGAATGTGCCCAGATTTCTTGTGGTAAGGTAATGAGGAGAGAGGGAAGGGCACAACAGAAACAAGTTATTGAGAACATCTGTGCTGCTTTTCAGGATAGGGTGGTGGAGCACAAAGGTTGTTTTCCTCATGGACGGTAGCATAATAGAAGTATTTATTTTCTGAAACTTTTCTAAATCTCTACTGTTGTTTCCCACATTTTATGTACTGCAAGTCTGTAACTGTGTTCATGGGAATTAGTTGATTCTTGCCTGGTGTGCCAAGGGTACTCCAATAACTGAGCAGTGCTTTTCATCAAAAATATACTTTTATATTTCTTTTCTTACTGACAGCAAATGTAGATGAGGAAGGACCTTGGAGATTGAGGTCAGTGATCTACGACTTGAGAGAAAGGCAAGGTCAGGTCTTAGTGAATATCTCATTCTAGGGCTGTGGTTCCAGTTTGGTGTTTGCTGTTGTACAGTGGGAACTGCATTTGACTTGTTTTTATATGGCAGTAATGAATTATGCTTCTACAGTAGAAGAAAAAATGAAGAAGTATAAAAACTAAAAATTCAGTTAAACCCTGTTACTTTCAGTGTAGTCTAGCAAGTTTAGTTTGTGTCACTGCTTAATAATACATGTGCTGCTGGTGATTAATAGAAAAAGTGTGTCTTGTTCACAAAAGCATTCAATGTCTCTTTAAAATTATTCTATTGAATATCTTGACGCTCTTCAGCGAACTTCAGCTCAGCTGTTGAAGTGTCAGTGATGTCATTGTGTTGCAAGAGAAGTGCTTGGTTATAAAGTTTTATCTGTGTGCTTATCTCCTTCTCTCAGCCTTCTTGCAGCTCTTTCCTATCTGGCAAATGACAGGAATGAGCTGAACTGAAGGTACACAGAAGCACAAGCACAAGGTCATGTGTGACTAAAAACCCTCAGGAATAAGAGGAGAAAGAATTGAGAATAGAAAGAATCTAATGAGCTTCAGAGTGTAAAGTTGAAGAAGCATTGAAGCACAAATAAAATATTTGGGCTTTCTTAAAAAAAAAAAAAAAAAGTTAATTGTCAGTTTGATGTTTTTGGTCCTGGCCCCTGGCTAACACAAAGCTAATTTCCAGAAAGCTCCCTTAACTCCTGTAGTTTTATTTAAATAAAGTACATAAACTGATACCTATTCCAAGAGTTGTACACAAAATTAATTTCCTTCTAAAGTTTTCTTTGTATTTGCTGTATGTGGAAAAAATCAATAGGAAAGCATTTGAAACAAAAGCACCTTGTAAAAAGCTTTAAAGTAAAATACAAACTAGAGCTCTTTTTCTGTCCCTTTCATTTATGAAAAGCTGACTGCTGTTTTTTTAGAATAGTGGTGTAAGATTGGAATGGCAGTGGTCTGTACATGCACAGTAATAGGAAGGTTTGATTATAAAAGATTTTTTGACTGAGGCAATTGGACCTTTTGATTATTTTCTTGCTGTAAGCCTGATAAACAATTCCATTATGCTGTCTTGGCTGTATTACTCGTGGTCACTATCAACCTTTAAAAGGGCTATTTGCTAACAGTGAAGGCTACATTCATTATTAGTGAGCCATAGCCTTCATCAAACCAGAGTGTGCTAATTGCACTATTCATTTATTTAGTGATTAGAAGAAAAAATAAATCTAGGGATTGAATTAAAGTATTTTAACAATAGATGAAGGTTATTTATCTCCTGCTTTAGACTTTTCTTCCTTTCACTAGTCCCATGTTGTCAAAAGTGTTGACTCTCTTCATGTGCTAACAGAGCATGAAAGGCTGTGGTTCTGAGCAGCACAATATTTGGTATTGAATGGTGTTGAGTAAGGGAGCTGCAGGGCTCGTTTTCAAGTAGCATTTCTTCTTCTGTCTTTGCAGTGGTCGGTATTGGAAAAGGAACAAAAATGCTGAGAACTATGCTGGCAGGTTCCAAGGTAAGGAATGCTAAATGACTTGTATTAGCAGGGGTTTTTGTTTGTTAGTTTGTTTTTGTCCTTCCAATGAAGAGCTGAATCAACATACAAATATGTCAGCTGCCCTGCATACTTAGTTTAAATGTGTACTTCGGTTCCTTTTTGCAGTTACTCAGAAATTTGATGCCAAGACTTTTATGTCCAGATTGGTTATTTAAAAAATTTCACTTGTCTTGGTTTTCTACAAGCTGTTAGTAAATACCAAATTCCTATTTTGCAGGAAGATTTCTATGCTACTTAGTGTATTTGAAGAAAAAAAAAAAAAAAGAGGAAAACTATAATGAAGAAGGCACTGAAAGTGATGTTTTGGGGATGTAGTTGTGTATGACAGTTCGATGTTTGGTAATTTTCCTTATGTGTAGATAACTTAATTGTTATTTAGCCTGCAGTAACAGATGGTCTTTGTTTCTTTTCTCCTTTCTTAAATACCATGAGGCCTTAAGAAGCACCTTTTGGAATTAAGAGTGCTTTGCATTTGTGATGGTAGCTGTCCTTGCATGTGTCAGCTGCTGCAGACGGGTGGTCCACAAACACAGCAATAGGCACATGTGAGAAGACAAAGGCAGCACAACCCTGTGGCTGCACGAGATAATCCAGACCAGAGCCTTGACAGATAAAAATCTTGTTCAGTGCTGGTTTTGATTAGTTGTACTGTGTCTTTGGTGAGTGCACTCCAGATAGTAGGTGTTACATACACAAAAAAGGGCAGGTACTCCCAAGAGCGATCTACCAGTGTTGATTCCTTATTCACAAGTCAAATTCTGTGGTTTTAGCCATTATTTTTACATGACACGTCTAGGTAAGAATGACAGGCACAGAAATCAATTAAGCCTTCTAAATTTCATCTTATTCTCAAGGCAAGTCAATAGTGGGCTCAGTAAATTGACAGCCTTTATAATACATTTTATTCTGTCATTTTTCCCTTTCTCTTCTGGTCTGAACACTTAAGCTCTTTACAGCTGCTGAACTGATATCTAGGTAGAATTTTATTGACACTCTTCAGTTCAACTCGAAGGCAAATAATTTGACAGAAGAGAATGCAACAGGATAAAAGGACATAGCTGTAGAGTCTGATCCAAAACTCAGTGTTGTCAGTATCAGTCTCTGCACTGACTGTGATGGTTTTGGATTTTGTTTATGTGACCAGTTTGCAGAGGCATCTGTGTTTTGTAACATGCAGGAAGCAGCTGGATTTACAGGGGAAACGTAAGCAGTTACCACCTGACAGTTCCTTTCAAAGAACTTTAAAGTAAAAGGAGTCATAGAGTTACTTCAGCTAAATTAAGTCATCATAGCTAATTGTGTGAAAAATGATGAATCAAAACACACAAAGCAGTTGAAGTGTCTCTTAAGCTGATGTTCCCAGTGGAAGCAGCTGGGATGGCAGAATTATGCACAGTGTTCCTTGACGACTTCACTGGTAAGTCCTGTAGCAAGTAGCAGTGTTACCCAGCCAGACCTTGCCCCCAGATTGCTCAAAGTGCTTTAGAGCTGCTAGCGAGGGGCAAGGAAAGGGAAAATGGGCAGGTGGGGCAGTCCAGTGAGCTACACCAGCCAGATCCATCAGCCCTCACCTGACCTTGGGTTGGTGTGGGCTCTGGGCACATCAAGGTACATCTGTACAGAGATCAGCAGCTCTTCCACTGCAGCTGTTGGCGTGCTCTGATGTGACACAGAGTGTGGGGTAGCTGACATCTGTGCCAGGTGGCATGGAGTGGCAAGCATTTATTTGGAGCTCTTCCTGTCTCTGCCTTCCTATTTTCTATTTATTCTTCAATAAATTAGACATGCAATAAATGGGGAGGCTTAAGGAAGTTGAAGGATCTCCTACAGATGTCTGCCTGTTTGTTTTTTTGACCACACTGAAAACATCATCTCATAATGTATCAAGAGATAAATCAGTGTGTGTCTAAATAGGTTTGAGTATCTTCTTGCATGCTGTGCCATGTGCTTGGAGTTAAATCTTATTTCTTTTTTCTTTTTTTTTTTTTTACCATTTTGCATGCTAAAGTGTTTGTTGAAATGTGATGTTTTTCTTTTATTCCTTTTATTACTGTGAAGTTCTGATGAACTGTCTGACCCTCTCTGGACAGGATTTACTGTTTGCTTATAGGAATGTATGTTGTAAAGAAACAATTCAGTCTATCATTGCTGGCAGCAGAGTTATGCTGAGTGGCCAAAACGTATGTTACTGCAGTAAACTCCATATGGTGACTCTTCCAGAGATTGGACTATTTCTGATTTTTTTCCCAAACGTTGTGTGAAACTTTCCTGACTCTGTGTGGCAGCTCTGAGCATCATCACTTGATGTGCAACTCATACACATTCTGCAAGGAGTGTTACTTTTTCGGTGTAAGCTGAGTTCTTCATTGGTGTGACCTCCTTATGAATTAACTCCAACCAAAGAGAAATGTGCAGCCAAGGGCAATACCTGCTTAGTGTTCCAGATCTCTCATCGAATTCTTAATATTTATCCAGAAATAAATATGTGTACAATCTGGCTTTGTTTGTTTGTTTACTTTATTTTGTTTCAAATGTTCCAAGTGAGAGGGAGAAGCTGAGTGCTCTTTGATCTCAGATTTAAATACAGAGCATTTAATACATGTTCCGTAGGAGAATCACTTTTTCTTCTTGTTTGCTGGGATTTGGACTTGGTCTTACTTGGACTTTTTGCACTGCAGTGTTTTGAGAGAATTTTTTTTTGTTATGTTGGCAAAATAAAGACAGTAGAGTGAGAAAATATTTCCTGCTTCCCCAGTAAGATAAGTATGATGGGGGTGGACCAATTTTTGCTATGGTAAAATGTTTCTGAACAACTCAGTCTTATGGATGACTAGTCTGTCTCAAACACAGTGTAGAAGTGTGTTTTTTGAGGGGAGAATGGGTTTAAAAATGGTAGCTTACAGCAACAGTTTCCAAAGTGGTAGTCATGTTTTAAAACCTCTCATCTACCAGAATGTGCTGCTTACGTAGAAACAGGGAGAGAAATGATCAGGTACTCATCAGACAAGGTAAAAAAAAAAGCAATGAAATTCTGCATTATTCTAGTACTTTCCATAGGGAGGAGATGTCTCCCAAAATGTACAGCCTTTATTTTTAGATGAGATAAAACAGGAAAATTGAAACTTTCCGACTCAAGTTCTGTGCTTAATTTGCATTTTTTTTTTTTCAGTGAGATAATGCCTGGGTTCACCCTAAGAGAATTTTAGTCATACCAGTATGAACAAAGCCAGAACTTGGCCATCCATCAAAATGTTCTTGAAATGACTGCCTTTCAATGAGCAGAAAACATGGGTGTATTGGTCTTATCTGAGGATGGAACTTCTAGTTATGGTCAACATACAGTCTGAATGCTCAAGTGATGTGAGGGAAATTGCCGAGTACTTTACACTGGTTGCATAGGCTTGGGCAACGACCAGTTAAAATAGAAAATTCAATCTCAAAAATTGTGGCTTTTTCAGAATGGAACTATCCAAAAAACCCCAGACCAGTGGATAAATCCTAACCTGAAAGTGTTCATAAAAACTAGAAGAAGAAGAAGGAGATTATAGGCAGAATGAAGATGAATCAGTGACCTGATATGTGACAACTTTTTTTATTATAATTGTTAAAATTTGAGTTCTTATGAATCCTGGATAGAAAATGAGTGCTAGTACTGTGATTAGGTCTCAAATCTTGCCAGTCACACTGGTGTTGTATGAGAAAGGACTTGTCTGAGCAGCAGTTGGTTCAAATCACCCTATCAGAATTTCTGAGACATCTAAGTTACTTTTTACAGTGGGATTTGGGGATTAGAGTTTGTCTATTGCAGAATTGTTTCTCTAGAGGGATGGCATCAGATGCCAACAAAGTGTCCATAAAGAATGTTGTTTCTTTAACTCCCATGGTTATCTTACTGTCCTAAAAATTAGGCTTTAATTTGTATCCCTTAACTTCTCAAACATAAAGCTTGCAAGCTTTCCCCATGAATTAATTTTTTTTAATTAAGTCCTTAGCTTCCATCTTCTGGCAGTGAGTTCAATGAATTAATAACGCATTAAAAAGCACATCTAGTGGTTCTATAAGGAGCAAAACTAATGAAGCATTTACTTGTGACTCTGTTTACAGCTCGTTGGGCACCAAAGCCCCATGTGGACTTTGTAGTCTCCAGTAGTTCAGTGGGGCTCCCTCTGGACCCTTCTTAGTGGAAGCTGCAATAGATTTATTCCCTCTATCTGTCTGTTTTCAGGAGGCTTGTAAGAACTCCGAGACCTCTCTTCTTCTGCCAGCGTTTGTGTGTTTGCACATTGACATGCACACCATGGTGGTGTAAGTGCTATTTCTTTAGAAATTCTAATTTTCTTTTTAAAGAGCCTCACTGTGTTGGGTGGTTGGTTGGGTTTTTTGGCTTTTTTTTTTTTTCTTCTCTGTGTGTTTTAAAAGCAGTTTGTGCTGCAGTTCATATATTTTGAGTTATGAGTGCAAGAAAATTGAGTTGACTTTGCTTTTGAAGGATCCTCTTGATGGTGTGTGCTCTTACTTTTAATCTTAAAAATTTCTCTAGGGCCAAGCTTCATCGTGCTTTCTTTTGGAGCTGGTAAAACAAGACACAATTATTCATACAGTGCACAGGGATGTTTTCTTTTTCAAATTCTGGTATTTTTAACATTGTCTTGAAAGGGCAAAATTTATGGGCAGTTGTAATAATTTTATTAGACTGAGTGGTATAATATGGAAAACTAGGTGTTTGGATATGCAAGCCCTCTCTCAGATCTAAAATAGAAGCCATGGACTTTAAAACTATATTTTAGGTTTGTTTAGAGTTTAGTCAAGTAGGTATCTTTTAGACCATTTCTGAAAAAAAAATGTTATTAATGCTTGTGAGTGTGGTATATGAACAGTTCTGTGAGGGCAAGCAGTTGTACAGGTAGTACCCCCAAGACTGTTCCACAAAGATAGGCTACTTTTTTTTTACCTGCTTT